CCATATAAAGGGGTCTCATCATTTTCGGATAAAATAATCATCATTGTTACTTACCATAGTATGAATTAGTATTTGATCTAAATGGTCAGAGCAAATACTCTGAAATAATGTCCAACCTGTTCTGTTCTATAAAGGAGTGTTGTCATTGTCAGATAAATTGTGAAGTGATTTCATATACCTGGGTATATTAAGTGGGAGACTTTCAAGTGTGAACATCTTATTATATTTACTACTGCAGAATACTCAATCTGATCATCATAGATATTTTGAACAGTGTGTGCTGTGTTCCTAACACTGGGCATCTCCTCTTTAATATTGTTCCATGGGAAGTACCAACATCTCTGAAATGCTGCATGTTTCTGTTTTTCCTTAAACTACTGTAAAGGGGTTTATTATTCACTAGGTTTTTATTTCGCTTATTTTGCTGACTGGAAAATGCGCTAAATTAAAACCCAGTGAATATGTAAAATTTGGCATAGAACACATTATCTAAATGATAAAACAGTGATTTTAAAACCCACTGAATATGCCTGAAATGGTTATTCAGCGAAATTTAAACCCAGTGAAAATTAGTCAATCCCCGGGATTGCATGGAGCCATGGAATACTATTGTTCTTTTTATTTAAACAACCAATCTATCTCTTGTTTCCTTTGTCTTTTTAATTAATCCAGTAAGAAAATAAACTGAAAATTGATCCAATTAACAAACCCATGCACGCTTGCGTTTTTCTTTCCTATTTTGAACTCCCTTGAATTTCGATAACAATGGACCTTGATGCACATCATTTGGCTTTGATTCAAAATGGCCAACTGATGTCCATCTGATTCAATGAATGATGCTCCAGATATTGACATGCACTTGTTTCAAGCTCAGATTCAAAATGGCCAACTCACTTTATAATAAGTTTTGTATACGTTGCACAGGGGCCAAGACTTAGTCATAAATTTTTATTTACCCAAACTGAATTGATTCCAGCAGAAACAATTTCGATACTAAAATAAAAACTTGTTTTGAGTGGATGTCTGATTTTTGTGGAACAAACATTTGTCTTAACTACATACACTCGGAATATACTACAGCATGTGAATACATTTTGTGTGGAAATAATGCAGTGTTTCTGATGAAGTAATGTCATATTGTAATTCAACATTTCAATCTAATCGTCTACATACTATACGTTACCAAAAAGGTTTAGTACAATTTTATTGACTTAAAAGTACAACATAGGTAGTGCAGTTGTATCAGTAACATACAAAACATTTTTGTACTAAATGTTACAATCCCCTATATATTAATATATACTGGGTGCAATAGTCGTATGCTGTCCATGAATAAAATTTGCATGGTTTCAATGTAAGATCAGTAATAACTTAAATTCATATTCACAAGTTGAATCTGCACTCACAAGTACTATGAAGCAAGTGGAGATAAACTCCACAAATGTTGAAGATTGGTGGTATTGTAGGAAGCAGCTATTCTTACATAATTCATTACACAATATTATCACTGTAAATGATGCTCAAAATAAAATTTTTGAAAAGAACAATATATTGGAAGTGAGTGATAATGAAATATATATCTACATGTATAGTACCGGTAGTAGTAGCTCTCCTCAAAACAGTTTAGCTCATTACATTGACAAACAAATTCAGTGGAATGACTCAACACTTAATCTGTTGAACAAATTGATAAATATTCTGTTACACTCAAAAACTGAAGAGACCATTAAAACATTTGCTCAGCACATGTAGGTATAGCTGCATGGTTACAACACATTGTTTGCTGCATGTACACATATCCAGACTTAGAATTTAATTACGATAGTGTCTTCATTTTCCAGTGAATAATAAGATAACTGTCTCAAATCACTCTCTAGCTCAACTTCTGGACCTCCCATCTGAAAAAGAGAGAAAAGAAAATACAATACACTGGTAAACAGACAATGTATATGGAAACTGGTTGATCTCAGACAAAATGACAATACACTTTCCTAAAGATACCTGCACACAAGTCAAATGAGTGTTCAGATCGAAATGAGCATTTCTCTCTTCCATAAATGTCCTCAACTAGTGTGTGGTTAATTTTGCAAGTCAGTGTAAAAAACTATCAAACTGGGAATCAAAGAATTCAAAGGAATAATTTCCTCGTATACCGACAATACAAAGTCATGTACCTTTTTGCTGATATACGCCAGCTGCTGATCTGTTGTGTCGACTTTAAAAATCCGAGATATCAAGTTTTTCACTTTCTGCACTGTCATTGATCCTTCAAAAAAAAAAAAAAAAAAAATTATAATTGCTTGGGTGGGATTTTAGGTGATACTGAAACAGAGGGCAATTTCATACTATCGATGGGTTGGTCATATTGCCAATAAACTGCACCAGTGAAAAATTAGAAATATATTCAGTTTTTGATTGTTAAGGTCACGGAAAAAAGAACTTGTATTATATATGGTAAAGTCAGAGAATACACAAATTTCTACAATGAAAAATGCCATGCAATGTTCAGTACTAATACATACCTGGTAACTTTTTAGAGACTGCTTTAATTTCTGGTTTCTGGGGACATACAATTGTCACTTTTATCAGTGTATTCTTCAGAGCTGTAGAGGGCGCTGCAGAAAATTCTGAGCTTTCCGGTGCTCCATAAACTGTTAAGAAAGAAGTTAAAATAGGTTCATGCGTGTATAATTATCACACTTTACCAATCAAGATAAAATAGACTGAAAATGGTATCACTTGGCCTGCTGAAACTGAAATCAAACAAAGCTTAGAAAGTACTTCCGTGTGTTGAGAGTAATGGAGAAACATTAAATAAGACCAGCACAATTTCACAGACAATAAATGTACCAGATTTCATTCAAATTGGAGTAGAACTTGAGATATCCATAAAAAATTAGGTAATTAATATGCACAGATTTTAGTCAAAACTACAAATGTAATTATGTCTTAGCATAGTCCTAGAGCATCTATGTGCCCAGTTTCATTGAAATGAGTAGTATTTAAGATATCAGTTTTTAAGCCAAAATTGACTACGATAAATTTGAGATATACATGTAAGCAGAAAAGTGCAAAAAAAGAACAAAACAAAATATAGTCATCAACCATCTTGGATTGACTTTTGTTGATGTGCTAGCACACAATTGTCTGTGAAGCAAGTGTTTATTTGAGATATAAACAGAATTGTGTCAAACAAAATGGAGGTCAATATTTTGATACAGAAGTCATGGTTATTTATAACTTACGTTCCAACAGCCTATGATATCTTGGGTGATTTATCTTGAAATCATCACTGGGTCTGTTTATCGCCAGATCTTGACTTCCACCACTATCCAACCATTCTTGGCCAAATCTTTTCAGATAATCTAACTCTGCAGTTTTCCTTTCATATCTGGAACCTACATAAGATAAAATATTATTTCAACAGTTTGGCAGACTGTGCTGGCTAAGACTAGCAAAA